GGAATCAAAGGACTCTGGCAAGTTGTCCTTTGACCTTTACACATGTTTTGTCACACAAACCCCCTAAATGTGTCTACGCACACACACACTAAGTAAATATAATAAAAAAGGTTTTAAAGAAAAAAAAAGAGTAAATACAATAAACTGGTTCTGGAGACATGGCTCAGCAGTTAAGAGCTCTTGCTTCTCTTCCAGTGGACTGGAGTTCAGTTTTCAGTAACCATGTTGTCTGGCTATATCTCACGTTCCAAAGCCCTCCTCTGGCCTCTGTGGACACTTCCATGTGCTCACATGTACATATCCCATACAGACACAAATATACAGAAGTTAAAGTAGCTTAGTTTCTTCCTTTCATTAGCCACACATCAGGTACTGAGTACCCACATGAGGCTAAATGGCTGCTGGGTTGAACTGCAGATGCCGAACATGCCATGATTCTACAGTTCTGTTAAACGCACAGCTGTTCACTGTCATAATATGGCAGCTTTAATTATTATCAGGGTAATTTTGTGGGTTGCTAAGGATAGAGCGTCACAGTCACATGTGCTAAGCTATCTATCTCCTAGTCTGTTTTCTTTCCTTTTTTTTAAGTGTTTACACATTTATTTTATCAGTCAGCATATTCAGTGTCCTTAAAGATCATCACATTTTAATTCTCTTTATAACCAAAATTTAAATAAATTCAGTTACTGACCCAGTCAGTGTTCTGTTGCTGTGAAGAGACACCATGACCACTGCAACTCTTACAAAGGAAAGCATTTGATTGGGGCTGGCTTACGGTTTCCGAGGTTTAGTCCATTGTCGTCATGGCGGGAAGTACGTGGCAGGCAGGCAGACCTGGTGCTGGAGAGGGGGCTGACAGTTCTACATCCCGGTCCACAGGCAGCAGGAGGAAAGAAACTGGTCTTGGAATGGGTTTTTTGAAACCTCAAAGCCCACTTCCAGGGACCCACGGCCTCCAACAAGGCCACACCTCCTAATTCTTTGAAATAGTGCCATTTCCTATGAGCCTTTGGATGCCATTTCCACTCAGATCACCACAGTTACTCAATTGTGAGTTACGAATTTTAATTTAATATGCCAGCTCTGTACTTTGCAGCACTGAAACAGTATAACAGGCACCACCTACATGTAGCTTCCTGTGTAAGAGCCAGTACCCTAAAAAATTCAGTAGTACTTATCTGTTTTATATACCTAAATCAGTATAAACAAGATTTGTAAGAAGAATGAGAAGCATGCGTATTGTGTATTGATTTTTTTTGTCTTTTAGTTTTTTAAAAATTGGTGTAACAGAATAAAAATCTTTCATGATTTCTATATGGTGTGGTAGGTAGGTATCAAAAACTTGATGCAGGCAGTATAAACAGCAGTAGCCATCTAAGAATGAAAGACATGCACACTAGTATTGGAAAGCCCGAGACTTGTATTTCCCAGTCACTGAAAGGTGAAATGATTCATGTAAGAATACGGAATAAGCTGGAAGGCTTTCACAAGGTGCTCACAGGCAAAAGGCTAGGATAGGTTTAGTGGACAGGGAACGGACCAAAGTGATTTCAGCTGAGGATTTCAGTGTAGATGTGCGAGAAAGGGACTAGGAGTTAAATTGACAATAATCATTAGGACTCTGGGGCAAGGACAAAAAGTTTAAGTGAGTTTATATAAGTATTTTGGAGCTATAAGTGTATTTACCAAATGCTAAGTTGGGATATTGGTTTGAGTAAAGACTATCTTTAGCGATTTTTTTTTCTGAAGTGAAAAGGTATAGCCTGAGCTATATGTCCTAGAAAAAACAGAAGAAGATTGCAGGTGTAGTAAACTGAGGCTAAAAGGTAGCAGGCTTGAGATGTAGTAAGGTAGACCATTAACTTTGCATGTTTGGGAAACGGAAGAATTGAAGGCCATCTTAGTTTCCAGAATTAGGACAGAATAAAATCAGAAGTGCTGTAATTCTTCATAGTACTTTGCTGTTTTGAAACTCTAGGAGATAACCAAAGACTTTTAATACAAGTTAGAAAGTCAAGGTTTGCCGATAAAGGACCTGACCTCTTACATAGAATGGAAGAACTAGAATTGAGGGGTTTTTTTTTTGGGGGGGGGGGGTTTCTTTGTGTTGATTTGTCTCTGGCCTCTTGGTTACCTGAGTCTCACTAAGGCTTTATTGATTAAGTTATTGCACTAGCAAAATCAACATTTTGTTGATTTTATTTCCTAAAACATTTCTTGGTTCTGCTTACTGCTGTCTCGGCTGTTGTGAGTAGTTCAGGCTTAGTTCAGGCTACTGTCATCTTTGTAGATATTTTCTTGAGTTTAATTCAAAATTTTGGCCTGTATTCTACCTCTTAAATTTAATTTTATTTTGTGTGCATTAGTGTAAAGGTGTCAGATTCGAGGTACAGACAGTTGTGAGTTGCCACGTGGGTGCTGGGAATTGAGCACAGGTCCTTTGGGAGAACAGACAGTGCTCTTAACCCCTGAGCCATCTCTCTCTCTACCTTTCTACCCTGTACTTTACCTCTTAAAGCAAGTGAATTAAAGCTTTTATTGTAAAATCTAATTTTCTCTAATTCAGTCATTCTCCTCTTCAATTTGTAAATAAAATCAGGCTTCTGAGCTGGCTTTGTGAGGCTGTCTGAAGTTCCATAGTCTTTGTTTATTGTTTTGTTTTTAGCCATTTACATCTACTTTTTGTTTTTATATGAAATTTTCCCACTCCATCCTATACCTTAGGTTTTAGAATAATTGAGTATTTTGGACCAGCCCATATATGAAAAGACTCATTCATGTAGACTCAGCAAGGACAAGGCTATTTTTCCCTTGCTGATAGTAGATTCTCAGAACCTGTTGAATGAGTGAATGTTATACTTCCAAGTCGTTTCAAGTTAGAAGAAGTTTCAGAATAAAGCTCCTGAGAGAATGAAGGACCATAGAAAACTAGGCCATCATTCCCAGCCCAGCACCATATTAGGTCAGATATGTTGGAGAGTGCTGTAGTGTTGACTCAGATACTTAGAGCACACCATAAGATCAATTAACCCCAACTCACAGGCGCTGGCAGGCCAGCCTGCTCTACAGAGCAGTCTAGGACAGCCAGGGCTACCAGAGAAACCAAAAACCAAAACAATCCACTTTTTTTTTTTTTTTTTAGTCCAGCACTTCTTTTTCTTTCTTTCTTTCTTTCTTTCTTTCTTTCTTTCTTTCTTTCTTTCTTTCTTTCTCTCTCTCTCTCTCTCTCTCTCTCTCTCTCCCTCCCTCCCTCCCTCCTTCGTTCTCTCTTTCTCTCTCTCTCTTTCCAGAGCATTTATTATTTTCTGACTGACTGAAATCCTCAAGATGAACTGGATGCTGCAACAGCTGCCCTCTTGGGTTTAGGTGTTGTTCCTTCACGGAATCCATGCCGGAAAATGCGGTAGACAATTTTTAGCTGCCTCTTTCGACCAGTCCCGGTAGTGTTTCGCCTCTTAGTCTTGGCACTGCAGTTATACTTCCTCTTGCGCTTGGCAGGGCAGCCAGGTTTGCCACAAGTCGACTTCTGAAGGTGGTAGGCCTGAGAGCCTCAGCGGCGGCACAACCTGTGCATCTTACTGCGACGCTTTCCAAAGGATGACGTTCCCTTCGTCATCTTGCTTCTGCCGCCTCTCCTGTTTGGTTTTTTTTTTTTTTTTTTTTGAGACAGGATTTCTCAGTGTAGCCTTATCTGTCCTGAACTTGCACTCTGCCTGCCTTTGCCTCCCAGAGTGCTGGGATCACAATTGTACACTACTGTGGCTGGCTGTTCAGCGTTTTCTTAATATATTTGATTATGGAAAACATTTAGATGGGTTACCTGTAATTTCTTCTAGGTTGCTAGTGGGATCTGGGAAATACAACATTTGGCAGGCATGTGTTCTATAAATCCCTCGGGTCTGATTAATATAATTTAAAAACAGTAAGGTCATTCCTTAGGGATATTTAGAGGAACTCTGGTTGTTTGCAATGATAACAGAGAACCTGAGGGAAGATAGAGAAATCTTAGAAGTGTCTAATGAAGAGGAATTAACCCAGTGAGGAAGTTGTAGGAAGGTAGAGTTTGTCTTAGAGATGCCTGTCAGATGGTTAGGCCTGTCCAGAGAGTGGAGCTAGTGCCTTCAAAGATAAGTAAGTTTCAGTTTTTTTGTCTGTGATGCCTGGAAGGTCGGAATCCATAGGATGCTCTAGAGAAAGAAGTTTAGCTCATCAGGTAGGGATTAGAGTCGAAGAACAGTTTTTTGTTTTGTTTTGATTGAAAATTTGACCACCATTAGACCAGTTTCTAAAATGTTCACCACCTGAGATGTGTATTTTTCAATTCCTTTCTCGTTGTATGAATTTATATATTGCTCTGGAATCCAAATGTATAACATGAGGAACACATAAATTTTATTTGTATAGTTAAGTGCTTTTATTTGATGGTTATTTATTTATGGCATTAACTGTGGGTTGAATCTGGAGCTTCCATGTGCTAGGCAAAGTGCTTTATCCTATGAGCTACATTTCCAGTCATAGTAAAACCAACCAACCAACCAACCAACCAAAGAAACAAACGTGTATGGTTTTAGTCTGTTTTTTGGAGCAGTTTTTTGTTCACAGGAAAATGAAGGAGGAAGTTCAGAGCATCAACTTTGCTCTGCTGTCCTGTGCACCCATCAAGCCTACCTCCTGTGGAGCCTATACTGTGTGGGACTTCTGTGACCATTTAACTGTTATGACTTACTGTATTGTTTACAGTAGGTTTCATTCTTAATTGACTTAATAGGAACTTCAACTTTACTATTAACTCTCAGAAAATGATGTTTAGTGATTTTTCACTCTACTTCAGGCTTTTAGGATTCAGGGATGCAGAAGGAACCAGAATCCTTTGTTTTGAGAAAATATTCAGGGCTGGCTGGAGGAAGTTGTTTTAGAATATTAAATGCTTATAAATATTTTATTTTCTTGGCTAACAATAGTTTTGTTTTTTGTTTTTTTTTTTCCTTCCTTTTAAGTACCAAAAGAATTGGTGGAGCTCCATTTGAAGTTGATGAGGAAGATTGGCAAATCTGTTACAGCAGACAGATGGGAAAAATACTTGATCAAGGTAAATTATCTTCTCTGTCACTGAAATACTATCCTGTCTAATACGAATTGATACTTGCATTTAGTAATATGCTGTTACAATAATTTATTAGGGTTACAGAATATGATTGCACTCCATGTTGTTATTATGTGTAGTTTGTGTTGGGAGACAACATTGTGTGCGTATACATATAAATGTGTGTATATGTATGTATACATACACGTGTATACCCACTTAGTGCTGTTTACTTTGCAGTGTGTCGTAGAAGAACTGTGACGCTCACATTAGCTTTGACTCTGAGGTACTCCTGCATTACCCCTCCAGCTAAGCAGCAGCTTTACCGTGCCTTGGACATGCTAGACAGAGAACTCTACCACTGCAGCAGTCCGAATTTCTAAAATTAGGCTTCCAAGCTAAGCCTTTCTGTGTCCTGAGGTTTTGTTTTGTTTTTGTGGTTATTTTAAAGCTGAAATGTGCTGCCTAAGTTGGCTTTGAACTCCCTTTCCTCTTGCATATGTCACCCCAGTGCTGCGATTTTTGTCACATGGTACCACTTGCACTTGCCGAGAACTTGTCACATTTTCTCTCATTCATTCTTTTAACCATCCTGATCAAATCAAATAAGCTAAGACCTAAGGTAGTTATTTTGTGTAAGATCACCCAGAAGGTGTAGACAGAACCTGAATTTATTGCTGATTTGAAGGAGAAAATCTCTAAAATCTATTAGGCCAGTAGGAGAGACTTCTAAATTATCTATTGAGTCAAACAGTCAAAACTGCAGTTAACAAGATTCACTGTATCATGGATCCTTCTAAAAGCAATTCCATTCGTTGTGTAGGGTGACCTTGAACTGTTGATCTTTCTGCCTCTACCCCTGAGTACTGAGAGTATAGGTATGTGCCACCATGTGGTGCTGGGGACAGAATCCAGGGCTGTGTGTCTGCTATACAGGCTCCCACTCAGACTCATTACATCCCAATGATGGAAGCTGCACGCTTAGGGAGTGAATTCATGTGTGCTGTTGTACTTTATTCACAGCATGTTCAGTGGGAGTATATTTGACTTATTTTACATGCTAGAGCAATGGTTCTCAACCCGGAGGTCACCACCCCTTTGGGTGTTGCATATCAGATGTCCTGCATATTAGATATTTGCTTACGACTCATAATAGCAGCAAATTTACAGTTATGAAGTAGCAACAAAAGCAATTTTATGGTTGGGGGTCACCACAACATAAGGAACTATTAAAGGATCTAAGTGTTAGTAAGGCTGAGAACTACTGCACTAAAGTATTACGTTATAATTTTAAGCATTTGGGAAAAAAAATTTTTTTTTTTCTTCTCTGTGTAGCCCTGGCTGTCCTGGAACTCACTCTGTAGACCAGGCTGGCCTTGAACTCACAGAGATTCATGTGCCTCTACCTCCTAAGTGCTGGGATTAAAGGCCCCACTACCTGGCTAAAATTGTTCATTTTCAAGATTGTTTTCCCTTTTCTGGTTGGATTTCCATATGAATTTGGTATCATTTTACCAACTTATTAAAAAATGTCAGCTTGAATTTGTGTAGAGATTGTTTAATCACATTGTGCTTTATTATCATTCCAGTAAAGTCATTTGATCCATAAGCATAGCCTGCCATTTAATTCTTTAGGTCTTCTTTATTTCCTTTTAAAAAATGTTGTGTAGTATAGTTTCCAGAGTTTGGTCTTAAATAGCCATCCATTGTGCCGTGGTCTAAAAAGTAGTTTGCAGATGTCAAAATCTACAGATGCTCAAATTTCTTAAAAGGCTTTTTAATTGCATATAACCTATATATGTGTTCTCTTATACTACAATTAATTAATTGATTACATTATTTTATTTGTATGGGTGTTTTGCCTTCATATCTATGTATCATGTTTTTTACATGACTGGTGTTCTTAGAGGCCAGAAGAGGGCTTCAGATTCCCTGGAACTAGAGATACAGAGAAGATTGTTAGCTGCCTTGTGGGAGCCTGGAATGGGACCAGGGTACTCTGGAAGAACAGTCAATGCTCTTAATCACTGAGCCATCTCTGCAACAAACCTGTTGGTTTTTGAAATAGAGCATCACTATGTAGTTCTGGGTGGCCTGTTATACTCTATGTCAGTGGTTCTCAACCTGTGGCATGGACAGGTTTGGGGATGGACTGGCCCTTTTACAGGGGTCACATGTCACATATCTTGCATATTAGATATTTACATTATGACTCATAATAGTAGCAAAATTACAGTTATGAAGTAGCAATGAAAATAATTATATGGCTTGGACTCACCACAACATGAATAACTGTGTTAAAGGGTCACAGCATTAGGAAGGTTGAGAACCACAGCTTTATGTAAAACAGGCTAGCCTTAAGCTCGCAAGAGATCCACTTTACCGAGTGAGTGGTGGGATTGAAGAGGTGCTTCACTGTGTCTGGCTCCTATTTTTTTTTTATCCTGAATACTTTCTACTTTATCATTTGGAGCCACTGTGGTAGTCTGAATAAGATGCTCCCCATATTCTGTGGCATCTGAATATTTGGTTCCCAGTTGCTGGAAGAACAGTGTCCCTAGGGGTGGGCTTTGAGGTTTCAAAAGTTATGTCTCATTTCCAGTGTGTTCTCTTTGCTTCTTGTTTGCTTTTGGAGATGTGAGTTCTCAATTGCTACTCCAGCTGCCATGTCCGCCTCCATGCAGTCCTTGTTACTATTGACCCTGACCATCTGAAACTGTAAGCCCAAAATAAACCCTTTCTTCTGTAAGTTGCCTTGGTTACAGTGTTTTATCGCAGCAATAGAAAAAATTGAGATTTCTTTAAAGACTGTTGGGGCCGTTTGATAATTTGAATTAAGAATCTTTAGTTCTAGTCAGCATCTTGGGGAGGAAAAGGTTTATTTTGCTTACTCCTCTGATCATAGTCCAACATCAAAGGAAGCCAAGGCAGGAACTCAATGAAGCAGAGACCATGGAGGAGTGCTGCTTCCTAGCTTGTTCTCCACGGCTTGCTTAGCCTGCATTTTTATACAACTCAGGCTGATTGCCCAGGGCTCACATTACCTACGGTGGGCTGGGCCCTCTCACGTCAATCCTTAATCAAGAAAATGCTCCACAGACCTGCCCGACTTACCTACAGGCTACTTTGATGGGGGACATTTACTCAATTTAGGTTCTGTCTTCTGAGATGACCCTAACTGTGTCATGTCTACACAAGACCAGCCCAGGCCTCAAAGCCTGTTTTTACTACGTGACCCTTTACAGGCCTCTGATCATGCCTAGAATAGTGCTTAGCATATACACAACCATTATTTGCTGAATGAGTGAATGTTATTAGATAACTTGGCAAAGACATAAAGACAGATCCTGTATCTTTATGATTTTTACATCCTGAAAAACAATCAAGTTTTCTTTATGACAAAAATAAATCTATTATTGTTTTTGAAGGAATATTATACTTGGCCATATAATATATATTATTTTCTTCTCTAAATCATTAAATTAGGCATAATACCTTATTGTATGAACCTTGTGCATAATTAACTATTTGCCAATAAATTTTATTTCTGAAAAGTTACTAGTCACTATATTTGTTGTCGTTTGAATATGGAACACCTCTCATAGCTTATGTGTTGAGCACCAGGTTTCCAGCTAGTAGTACTACTTTGGAAGATTGTGGAATTTTTGGGATTTAAGACCTAACTGGTGGCCACTAGGAGTAAACTTTGAGGTTAGGTAGCCTGATCCTGCTTCCATCCAGAGTGTCTGTGTTCCTAGTCTGCAAGAATGTGGGAAATGAGAGCCACGTGTTCATCCAGCATGCCTTCTCACTAATGAAATATCTCCTAAACTGAGATCTAGAGTAAATCCTTCCTTGCATTGCCTCTGAAGGTGCTTTGTCATGGTCATAAGAAAGTAGCCAATAAACGACAAAGTCCAGCTTTCAGTTTGGCCCAGGTTATATTATTAGGCTTTTCCTTTTTAGCTGCCACTGTTTTCTGTGAATTAGTAAAAGTGCTATTGCTAGTCTAGAGCAGAAACTAGCAAACTATAGCCAAATCCTGCCTGTTTTTGTAAAATGGAGTTGGAACAGGGACAAGTCTGATAGATGGTCTGAAGTTGACATCATGCTACAGTGCCAAGCCAAGTATTTTGACCAAGAGTAATTGTTACTTAAAATAGTTACTGTTAACCCTCTGTAGGTTCAGTTCATTGATATCTGATCTAAAGGGCATGTAAACCACTGTTTGTTCTTAGTTTGGGCCATCATAAAAAAAAAAATACTAGAAAACTACTGTTAAGCATATGGAAAGGATAAACCTTTTCATTTATATCACAGTGGTGGCCCAATCAACTGATGTCACATAAATCAAACACATCAAAAGCCAACTTCATTCTCTTTCAAACCTATTGTACCTGTAGAACCTATGATGTGTTCATGTTATCATCAGCGTTTTTAGCCTGAGCTGAGATTGAGGCGTTGCTCAGAGTTCCTTTACCTGCACCTGGCAATGAGCAAATCTGTCTGGTTTCTTGCCCTTTTCTCTGATCTAGTTTTCTTTTTCTTTTTTATATGAAAGAGGTTTATTAGATGGAGATGAAGAGAGAGCGAGAAGGAGAGAGCAAAACCTGATGGGGGAAGAGAGGGGATCTGATATACTTTTCGTCCTCCAGTTGTTACTGCTTATTCATGTAGTTATCATCCCTTGCCTTGTCCTTCACATTCTCCCTCCTTTTCGCCGTGGACCACCACCCTATCTTCAAACCATTTTAGCATCTCACTGGTGCAAAGAACTTTCTGTGGGGGGGGTCTTGTGCATGTGATTACACATGTACAGGTGTGTGTTCATCCATGTGTGCATGTATAGAGGCCAGAGGGGGCTGGTGGGTTTCCAGCTTCAACATTCTGCCTAATTCCCTTAAGGCAGGGTTTCTCACTGAACTGGGAATTTTCAGCTAAGCTGGCTGGCCAGCAAGTCCCGTGATCCTCCTACCACACACACACACACCTCCCCAAGTCCCAGC